GGAGTTGCAACACTCCCCGCGACTGCATCCGTTCTGCGGTGGTATGACTCACGGCAAATTGCAGCCGCGGCGCGCACTTGATTGTACGCACTGTAATACAAAACTCTGCCGCTAGTTTGCGAGTAACTAGCGACCCGTTCATGAATGTAAATGCAGGCATATATATATTACGTGGCTAACAAGAGACAGAACAAACTGGCGTAGCGTTAACACTCTAGACTTTATTAGAGATGTGCCCTGTTCGAATTCAACCCGGTACACCTGCTATCCTGAATGTTTTTCGCGTTTTTCCCAATCTCTCCTGGAAAATGCCGGAGAAGTACCTCGATTAGGCGAGGACCGCTTCCTTCCCAATTCTTTCCAGTTCGTGCTAGCTGTGTGATAAGTCAGTCAGCTATTTGGCAATTTGTGCGATCATGTGTGGAACCTGCCGTAAAATAATCTCTATTAAAATCCGATGACAGTTTTGGTTTTCGATTGATACACGTGAGGTCACTTGTATGTAGATACAACCTAACAGCAGACTGGGGAGGGGGGAGAGGAAACAAACGTGACTTTACATCTAAACACTTTTTACATAAATTTGCAAAGCTATAAGCCTTATGCTAATGGTGGAGCTATGTAGATACCTGTAGTTTGCACAACTTAGAATTTGAAAATACATAAATATTCCTTGGATAACTACTCTCTAATATAGGCGTTCTTTCTCTGGTGTCCTGCCTGTACATCTATCAGTGATCAAATATCAGAGGCACTGTCCATGAACTGATCTGATTAACGCTTACTCTCGGACACGTAATTACAGCAATTTTGGAGCATCCTGTTGCACTAGGATTGGTGGTGTACTTGAAAGCCAGTAGGACTGTCACTTCGTTGAAATATTTGGCACACTGGTTAGAAACTGATGGGTTATCCAACATTGTATCAACTGCGTAAGTTACTTAGCATCAGGGTCAGCTCAGTACGATATTGCTTCCCCGAGGAAACCAGTCAGAAGTGAAGTTGCATGAGTAAGTCCAGACTCTCACATGAGCCAGTATGTCGCTTTCCCATGGGTGCATGTCCTGTACAACCCGAGTGTGATAAGCAGAAATACTGAAGCTGGATCAGATTCAGGAGAATTCATATTAATATAGGCAGCACAACACAGCAGTAGACAGGGAATCATAAATAAGACAAATGAGAACCCATTATAGCAAGTGTCACATAACTTTGAACAAGGCCAAGAGTATTATTGAATGCGCAGAAGAACAATTTCGGACAAGGGGGTGGAGAGAGTGAGAAGTGACAGGCTGCCAGTGGAAGAACGAGTGTTAAGAAACTCCTCCCACCACAAGCTATGCATGGGATTTGACTAGGAATGCAAGCCTTGTTCGAAGTTATGTGACACACACTATATGTGGTGAAATGTGTTTCAAGCCAAAGACAGCAGAAAATTATACCATCTGTGATCAGAGATGTGGAGACACAGATAAGAAGTGCACACAAAATATTAGTGGGAAACCCTGGAGTAAAAAGATCACTACGAAAACTAAAACCTATACGAGGAGATAATATTAAATTGGATCTCACAGACATGATACACTTGTGTGGACTGGTTTCATATGGATTTGGATAGAGTGGGCACTTGAAGGCCTGGTAATGAATCGTCGGTTGCTTAGACACATTTCATTAGTGACTGCTAATACATTATCTGCATTAAAAGCACCTCTGTTCTTCAAAACCAAAGAAACTTTAATGAGACACTGACAGTTCTTCTCCTGCACATTCACATTTACTCCCCTTCCCTCAACTTTCACATGAACAAACCGAAACGCGAGTCAGACCCTTCATATATGCAATTCTACACATTTCATTTTTGACCTGATGCACGTCAGCTGCAAATGATGTTATCACTTTATTGTGACACTACAATGATCCAGTCCTTTATGTGTCAGGAACTCAGGTTTATTCAACCATAAACACGTTCCTTCAAAAACCACATTTCTATCCACTCATGTAAACACTGTCCACTTGCAAGTTAGCATTGCCTTCTTCACTATGTACAAACGTGTGTTCCCCGAAACATTTCCCCAGCAATGCAGCAGTTTTTTCTGGAATGTTTCTCCATGCAAATCTGCCTTTCATGCAATGGATCTGAGTGCCATATCTCAAGAAAGCAGTGGCATCTTCAGTGATCTCATGACAGTTCTGGACTACTCAAACTGTCAGTCTCATGGGACAGATATAGCAGCATGTTTATTGCGTTCTTTTGAAGGAACATGGCATGTATTTAGCAGCCACTGCTGGATTTCAGTACTTCTGTTCCATATGGCTGACCATAGTGATGGCCATCCATTAGCAGCAGGGCTTTGGGCTCAGCGTTCCTAGCATTACGCCCCTGTGACACCATCACCTCAGCCATCAATCAGAAATCTTGTACTCTTTCCTTTCATCAAGCCACTTACATTCTTCTGCCTGCTGGAACATCTATACGAGGGACCCATAGTTTTCCCGTGACAGATGGAGAAATGTCAGCAGGTGACTACAGCAAGAAGCACACAATTGTGACAAGGCCCATACTCTGCTACAAGATGCGATCTACCATGACCTCCCCACTGATGGCCAGACACAGAGCAGTGAAATGTGTCATGCTGCTGTCTTGCATCACCTGTACAGGAGATGATAAACTCAAAACCCCTGTGCTGTGACAAGTCAGCAGACATGCTGCTTTATGAACATTTATCTCATCTCCTTGTTGATGTATGCCAGCCACAACAATATATTTCAGGCACAGGCCATTATATCTCTGGGGTTGCATTAACTGAGCCCAAGGCCATCACAATGGCATATGGAATAGAGACAATGAGATATAGCAGTGGCTAGCTACAGGCCACATTCCTTCATAAGAACACAACAAATATTCTGCTATACCACCTGCCCCACAAAAGGGATAATCTGAGCAGTCAAAAACTATCTGCAGGAACTGCAACCAAGATTTCCACTGATGATGCCACTGAAAGTATGCTGCTAACATAAGGGAAAACCCCTTACAGTCTTACTGAGCTCAGCGTTTCACAACATAGCAGGTAGACACATCACACCTCATTAGTGATGAAAGAATTTCATATAACAAACGGCAGCCAAGATACATGTCTCAAGCAGAATAATGACAATGAGGATGATCTTGTTTGTGAGAACACTGAGGGTCATCTTCCGTAGCAGGACACGAGTCTGCGACAGTTCATGATCTGTGTCTGAAAGTCGCTGCTTGCTGCGCAGTAATGTCTGTCTCTGTGCACTCAACTCTGACACAACTTCCTCCCCCACCTGTTCAGTCTCCACAGCTGTACGCTGTGAACGTGCCAGGCTCTCTGCTGTGCGCTCCAATGCAGCACGCCCCTCAAGAACCGTGCGCCGTGTCTCATCTTCCCAGCTGAACCCTGACATGACTGGCTGAAAAGCACAAAGAGGTTAGGGGCAATTATAGAAAGTGCTCTAGAACCCACTGACAGGGAAGTGGAGGAAGCATTGTTAGGGGTTCCAAGTAACTGTTTGATATTCAGTATAGTAAGCAATTATGAAACTTGTTATAAAGAAGAATTTCATCTTAAGGAATACATTTTTGCCTGTTGAAAACAATATAAAGGATGTCAATTTATTACTTTTATGGTATGTATCCTGTTGTGTGTCATTTATGAAAAGATATAATTTGGGACTGCGACTGTCCCAAAGTTCCCTCTTCAGTTCACATTCAAACAGACTTCCCTACAGAATTTCTATATACATTTCTTCTCTCACCATCTTAGTTGTATGTCCAACTCACGGTACCTAATTGTGTCACACTGGAACATTCCCTAACGTGTACCAGCTGTTATGTAAAACAATACAATTCTATAACATTCATTATTTAGTATTTTCAAGACCTTTTTCTAGAAATGTTCATCTTTGTATCTTCATGGTTTATCCATAATTCTTACACAATTCCCTTAACATGAGCCAAAAGATTTTATCCTATAAATGGAGCTAAGCAGAATAAGAGTAGAGCCAGGACAGTGTAATTGGTATAGCGACTGGCTATAGGATGGATGACCGAAGAATTGGAATTTGAGTCCAGGTGGGGTCAAGAATTTTCTCCACTCCACATTGTGCAGAATAGCTCTGAGGTCCACCCAACCTCCTATATATGATGGTATCTGGGGGCTCAGAGGTAATGCAGCCAGGCATGAAGCTGAACACTCCCCTCCAGCTAGTTCTGAGGTCAAGAAAATCTGGATATATATACCTACTCCCCCAGTATGCCTTCATGATGTAGTGCTTAATCAGTTAAGCACAGGGACAACTTCAACTCTTTTACCTTTACCTTTGACTTCTCATAAATAGCATGTTGTATGTATAATGTGGGTTACTTCAAAAGTCATGGCAACTATTTTTTTTAGGCAAACATGTTACAGTGAAGAAAGTTCAAAACATACTTATGAAAGGGCATGATATACTGCTCCAATTGGCTTAGTCAGATGAGGTGGATGTGAAGGGGGGATGGTATAATAGGCAAGAAAAATTGCACATTATGGAACGACTTTTTTTTTTCATTCTTTAATCCTCGAAAAATTCAATTGTGATTAAGAAATAAAAAATTAAATGTGAGTTAAATCTGAATTCTTACATTACAACTAGCAACTTTCAAAGTAGTCTCCAAGTGTATCAAGTACTCGCTGCCAGCGATGAGGAAGACGGTGAATACCATCAGCTTCACCACCTCCAAATCTTGTCATCTCACGCCGAACTGCGTTGTAAATGTCCTCTCGTGTACGAAAGCGTTTCCCTCGCAATGGCTGTTTCAATTTGGGTATTAAGTCATAGTCACATGGCAAAAGGTCGGGTGAACATGGAGGATGGTGTACTACTGCCCATCCCCAACGTCATAAATGGTTCTTGACACTGTTTGCTGTGAGGGTGGTTGCATTGTCATGAAGGACAATGACACTGTTAAGCAGTTCAGGACGTTTATTCCTAATTGCATGACGTAAGTTATTCCGCAGAAAGGACTCATAGTGATAATGTAACAATTCAGATTTAACTCACATTGATTTTTTTATTTCTTAATCACAACTGAATTTTTTTCAGGATTAAAGAATGAAAAAAAGAAAAACAATAATTCTGTAATGAGCAAATTTTCTTGCCTACTATACCTACGCCCCTTCACATCTACCTGATCTGACTAAGCCAATTGGAGGGGTATATCATGCCCTTTCATAAGTATATTTTGAACTTTCTTCACTGTAACGTGTTTGCCCCCCCCCCCAAAAAAATAGTTGCCATGACTTTTGAAGTAACCCACGTATGTACATGGCAAGAAATATTTCCTCCTCCAATACACATAAAATGTCTGTAATGTCTTCCTTCTGCACTCAACCAAACTGCTGTAGTTTCAATTAAAAAAAGGGGGGGGGCAAAACTATCCCTGTAACAGGTCATGGAAGCCCATAGGGTTAGTTGAAAGACATCAAGTTTTCCACATTTTTCCAGTCAGCTAGCTCACAGATGGTAGCAAGGCCGTCTGCCTTGGCCACCCTTTACCCACAGGAAGATTCCTGGTACTTATTTTTCTGTTAGAGGCTCAGTCGACCCCAGGGTCATAACGCGGCCAGAAAGATTGGGGCAACTGAAAAATCCAATTACCTCATCGGGGATCAAACCCATGACCTTCAGGCTTGAAGCACAGAGCCTCAACAATCTACATTACTTCAGCTGCAGTTTCCATGCAGATTGGATTCCAAATCTGACAAAACAAGATGCTAACCAAAACAACCATTCTTTTTAAAGTTTTCTTGTGTGTGCAAATAAATTTACTATAAAAAGGGTTCCTTGTCATACTCTCAGACTCAATGGAATGCGTTAAGCCCAGTGGTTTTAAAGTTTGAACACAAACCAGGCCTCTGGAGTGTCTTGGATTAAAAATACATATAGACCTCAAACCAGTTAAAAAATAAATTAATTTCAAGATCACAGTGAAAGAAGTGGGAATGGAAGCCAGTTATTGTGGTAATTTATGTTTCATCTATCAATCAGATCAGCTGATGACTTGATATGATGAGACCAATTATGTGGTGCCATCATTATCAATCGCCAAGAACTCCTTCCTGTTGCCTGCAACAAAATCACAGATTATGATCACAGCTTGCTTTCAGCAGGGAAGGCAACTATTATATCACTGTCTTTGGTATAGGTATGTGTGTCTGTAAGTATGGTGGTGGGTTCATACATCAAGCAGTTTTGGAAGAAACACTTCTTTCCTACTCCAGGATACCAGTTGGTATTTGTGGATGTCTGCAAGAGGAAGTCACACTGGAGGTGAAAAGTTAACCATCTGGTGAGTCTGATATGTAATATTTTTATCTCAACTCCATGCAGTGCGAAGGTCAAAAATGGAGCTATAATTGCACTCCCCATATGTCACCATGGCACAGAGCTTCATGAAGCATAAGGCCAACTTTTTTTTTTGCCTTTTTCTTTACCCTCAAGTAAAACAGGTGAACTTCGCAAATTCTGCTCATGTGTGCCGCCACATCACATCAATTTATTAGATATATCCCTATTATTATAAAATGTACCTTAATTTTGTATAAAAACTTCATTTCAGCACTCTCCTCTATTCATCTGTGGTTTATTTAACAATAAACATTATAGACTGCATCCTGTTGTGTATATAATATTTACTTGCTTATATTATGACTGTCGACACAAGTAACATGGGAATAACTTCAATAAAGACAAGAGGTGTTGGTATATATCTTACATATTTAATATAAACATAACAGTTCTACATGTTTTGACCATAAAATTAGGCCATCATGAACATGAATGAATGTATAAGGGGTGGGCCTTCTTGGCCCTTGCCCCGCGACCTACAATGGTCTATTGTGCTTCACTCATGAACATACTCATATACCTTTATTTCCACAGATCCATACAAGGTATAAGGATGTGGAAATTGTCATAATAAATTAAAAAAACAGTACAAACATACATATAATCAAGTAATACTACACAATATCATTACATTTATGGGCACAAAAACAATACCAAAAACCTAATATTAAAAACTATATATGATTAATCACTTAGTACAAAGAAATTATATCTTTATTTTAACCACATTCAAAATCAAAATATTCTTCCAATGTATAAAATGAAGAGCAACACAAAAAATCCTTCAAAGCCGATTTAAAACCTTTACAATTATTGTATAATTTGCTTTAAGTATAAAGGAAGATTTTTAAATACCTTGATACCCATATAGCAAGTTCCCTTCTGATACAGTGATAGATGAGCTGAGGGTTGATAAATAACATAAATCAAGTATTAAAATTGGTTATAATATGGATGTGTATTCTTGCAACTGATGGCTGTATTGCAATTACATAAACATCAAGAGGGGTCAACATTCAAGCCTACATTTCTAAAACATCTAAGCTTCCATGATAATCTAGGATAAGAGTGAGAAGTGGAAGAAATAACAACCAAGATTTTAAACCATACAATAGCATATATGATCTACAAAACAACAAATGATAAACAGCATAAAACACGCCCTTTTCAGCATACACATGTCTCTTGAAGATTGTATGTGACCAAGCACAGCATCTAACCTATTTTAAATACAACATACAATTAATTTTTATGCTATTTATATTTGTAATATTTCTATTTTCACATTTTAATTTTATCTTTGTCTTTGTGTTTTTAATCATATCATATACAACAATTTCCAGAATTATGTATTGGGAACAAAGGATACCCGTACGATTCTTCAGGCAGGAGGTGTTTGTATATACATAAGATCAGATATAAAATTTACTGCTATAAATTTAGCACAGTTCTGTGATGAAAAGAACATAGAAATTTGTTCACTTAAGATTTCTTTAGCTAAAACTAACATATTTGTACTGTGTATATATAGGTCACCTTGTGGGAATTTTGAGTACTTTGTAAATAAGTTGGATAAAGTACTCAAATTACTCTTTAAACCAAAAATTGAATTTATAATATGTGATTTTAATGTAAATTTTTTAGAAGAGTCAACTCGTAAAACACAGCTATTAGTTCTGTTGCAATCGTATAGAATAACTGAGACCAAAAGCTCTGCAGTTGATAATATTTTTATAGATAAGGCAAGGATAAATTCATATGAAGTAATCTCTATTAGTGATGGACCATCAGATCATGATACTAAAAAATATCAATTTCCTAGAGAAGAAAAAAGTGCAGGGAATCACAAGAAGATTAGTAAATGAAGACTCAATTGCTCAATTTCTTAATAAACTATCTAATGAAAAATGGGAAAATATATATATACTTCATGATGTAAACGAAATATTCAACTCATTTTTAAATAAGTATTTACTTGTCTAAGAGTCACGCTTTCCAAAGCAAAATGTAACAAATAAACTCAAGGATAATGGCTGGATAACAGCTGGTATACGTACCTCCTGCAGACGGAAAGAATCCTTGTTCATTCTCTGTTGAAACAGTTACAACTATTTGTTTAAATCATACTATAAATCCTACTGCATGATATTCAATTCGATTCTTTATCATTAATGTGCCGAGTCAACAGGCGCAAGGCCAATTACAGACACAGCACAGTGCAGAATAATGAATGACATTATACACAATCTTATTAAAAGTCGAATACAATTTACAATAATAATGAATAAAGTAAAAGTAAGCAAACAAATAGCTGATAATTATGACAGTAATAATAATTTCATTATCATTAAACTAAGTGTTATTACGAATTGAGGAATGAAACATAAATATTTAATTAAGAAATGAATAGTATAGATTTTCAGAGGATAATAATAATATATGTAATTCATTTTGTTTTACTGGACATGCAAATAATAAAAATACTAACAGTTATACTATATTTAAAATTTGTTCAGGTAGAACATTCTTGGCTCCGAATACGTCAACATCCCTGCAGACAACATTAGCAGCTGCTGCGCATCTAGCAGAAGGACAATTTTTAAATAAGGAGCAAACATTGAACAATGCAAAATCTCTGATATACAGAGCAGGAACTCGAGACCAACAATTTCCAGGAGAGAAGGGCAGAATTTCGAGCCAAAATAAACTTGAATAAGAAAGAGAGCATCAAGGCAATGTCTCCTAGTACATAAAGTATGCAATTTTAACTCCTCAAGAGCAAGAGAATAATTGTAATGAACTTGAGGAAAGAAACGTTTAAAACAAAGGGCCGCAAACCTCTGCTGGATGCGATCCAGCTTGTTGGCATCAGTTGACGTAATCGAATTCCAGACTACGGACGCATATTCAAGCTTAGACCTAACTAACGTAGTGTACAATCCGAACATACAGTCTAGTGAAGAGAAATTGAAGGTAATATTATGAACTAGACCCAATAGTTTTGCACATTGAAAGAAAATGTAATTGACCTTGTCATGGAAATATAGCTTAGCATCAATAAACACTCCCAGGTCTTTTACAGAATCGGTCTGGGCTATTGACGTTTGAAAAAGTTTATAATCATAGATATTAAGAAGAGTAATAAGAGGAGCCAAAAGGAAATATTATAATCAGTTAATCACATCAGCTGAAAACAAAATAAAAACTACCTGGAACATTATCAGCACTGAAACAGGTAGGACCAACAATCAGAATGAAGAAGCAGCTCATAGTTTTAATAAATATTTCACATCAATAACCAAAAATCTTAATATTAAGAAAACTAATGTTTATACTGCAATGTCATATTTGCATTCCCATTTCTCAAATGGTATTCCAGACATGAATCTTAATTTAGTTGCAGAAGAGGAAACAATTAGCAAATTAAAATAAAAAACTCTTCAGGGTATGATGGTGTAATAAAATTATAAAACTGTGCAGACAACAAATTAGTATGAAGAAATCAGTCTTCTGGGATTTGGCACCGTGTATCTGTGGTGTTAACCGACGTTTCGGAGGAACGTATCGCTTCCATCTTCAGGGTAGAAGAAAAAATATATAAGAAATCTGCAAGCAAAGAGACCGTGAGAACCGGTAAAAGCAGTCTGCACAGCTAAAGACTACTATAATTTAAAAATAAAATTGGATGTTCTTTTTAATCACATGTTTATGTGGTTTCAAAATAATCAATTTGTGCTAAATCTGGATAAAACAAAAATGATAAAATTCACCCCAACAGCAGCTACAAGCTACCCTCTGTATACATTGTTTTTTAACAAAAAGCTGAAAGAAGTAGAAATGATAAAATTTCTCGGTTTGCAGCTGGACAGTCATCTAACCTATAAGGGACATATAGATTTCTTTCTTCACAAGTTGAGCACAGCTGGTTTTCTAATGCTAAAATTATCCTACGTATATACAAGGGTTGGAACTTTAATAGTGGAAACTATTTATTTACAACTGGTACAAAATAGATGCATGTTTTGCAGTTTTACTGTCCTTCAATGTAGTCACCAGCATTGTGTACAACCCACTGCCAGTGATGTGGAAGTCATAGGATCCCCTTATCAGTGTCTGTTGTATTGATGGTTCGAATGGAGCTGTCTACTGCCTGAAGAATCTCTGGAACAGTTCTGAAGTGAATGCCACAAAGTGGTTCCTTCATCTTCGAAATCAAGTCGAAGACACAAGGGCTTAAGTCCGGGGAGTATGGTGGATGGTACACCACTTCCCAGCTCCATCGATCGAACAAATCAGCCACAGCTTGTGCTGCATGCGGCCGAGCACTGTCCTGCAAAATGATGGGTGGGTTCTGCAGAAAGTGTTGCCGCTTCTTTTTCAAAGCTGGTGGCAGGTTGTGTTCCAAAAATGAACAACTGTGCATTGACAGTCTACTGTCAGGGAACAGTATGCATTATGATAACATGATCACAGTCGTACACGAGAATCACCATAACTTTCACATTGCTGGGGTTCTGATGAACTTTTGATTTTTGTGGTGACCCGTAATGATGCCATTCATTCGACTGGCATGTCAATTGTGGCTCGTACAATTTGGCCCATGTCTCATCCAGCATAATGATACAGCATAACAAAGCCTCTCCTTCGCTCTCATAGCACTCCAAGTGGTTACGAGCAGCGTCATATCATAGCCATTTTTACATTTCCATCAAATCATGCGGAACCCATCGTGATGCAATTTTTCTCATGCTCAGGCATTCCTTCAGAATGTGAAGCACAGTCCTAAGTGCTAATCCTGTCTCTCGGGCCAGCTCACGAATCATATGGCGTTGATCACTCTCCAGTAACGTGGAAAGAGCATACACCTCTTCTTCACTGACACTAGGACGACCTGGCTGACGCATGTCTGCCACATTTTGTCGTCCCTTGTTGAAGGCTTTTACCCACCTTACCACTGTTCTGTAAGGCAATGCAGATACTCCGCAAGTCTCTTGAAGACCTTGATGACATCGTCGTGCTGTATGGCCTCTGGTACAGTCAATCTTTATCCAATTCCACTGTTCCTGTTTTGAAAACATCGTGACAACACTACATTAGACCGCCAGCTAACATGATGTGGGAAGGTAGAGTCAATTTGCTCTTGCGTAAGGTAGGTATGTAACTAACGTGTGGTATTAGCGACATTATTTGGTTCCATTGCATGGTGTCTCTACAGCAGTGTTGCCACTATTAAAGTTGCAACCCTCGTATTAAATATAAATAGTTTTAAAGCTGTATATTATGTATATTATCATTCAGTGGTGAAATATGGAATAACATATTGGGGAAATACAACAGACAGTCATAAGGGCTTTGTTACGCAAAAGAAAATAATAAGAATAAAGATGGGAGTGGGTCCAACTCATACATGTAGAGATTTATTTAAAAAGCTTGACATACTGCCAATGCCATGTGTATATCTGCTCTCAGTGATATTTGTTGTTAATAATTTGGATAAGTTTCAAACCAATGACTCTGTCTATGTGATTGGGACCAGAAGGAACGACCACCTTCAACACATTTATCATCCAATCAGAGAGGAGTGTAATATTCAGGCATCAAGCTATTTAACACATTGCTGTCAAATATCAGTTTTAAAAAATGATAAAAAGCAATTTAGGATTGTTTTACGAAATTATTTGCAAAGTAGTATATTTTACTCTATTGATGAATTTGTCGATCATGCAAGTGGCTCAAAAGTTGAGTTAATAAATGGTCTGTGTGCATGAATTACATACTGTTGAGACTTGCTTGTTGTAAGTATAGTAGTATGTATGATGTCTGTTTTTGTTATGAATTTTAATATTTCATAATGTAACTATTTGGATGATATGGCTTGCCAGTGTGTGTGGAATGGCAAGGCGTGAATTTGACAGTGGTTTTTCCACGACCTATGTGTATTGTCCTGACAACTTGAGCTATCTGTGTGGGGCCTGATTATATATTTTATTGGACCAAGGATGATGTGTAGTCATCATGAATTTGTAATATGAGACATATTTTATACCCAGCCCTACGGGGAAATGATTGGATCCATGAAGTGAAAAATAAATGTAAATATAATATGAACTGTATAATAAATTGTAGATATACACCTAATACATAAATATATATTCACTAGCAGTGCAGCCATCAGTTGCAAGAATGTGGATCTGTATTATAACCAATTTTGGTCACTGGAGTTAAGTTCACAAGTGCCTGATGATGACCTAATTATATGGTCAAAATATGTACCACTGTTACACTTACATTAAATATGTAAAATATATACCAACACCTATTGTCTTTATTGAAGATATTCTCATATTACTTGTTGTGTTGATGGTCATAATATAAGCAATTAAATATTATTTAACAATGCTGTCAGTATCTCAGCCCATACAGAATAAAACAATGGAATAATTTAAATAATAGTGAATGGGAAAATATCTGGATGGAAGGTAGGAGCGACCCTTGACCCACTTTGCATTACCATCCCAGCAACTGTCTCATGGCACAGAAAAGCATGAGAAACCTTGGCCACGATTGCCAATATCCTGCCCGAGATTCGAACCAAGTACCTCTAAATTACAATCCACAAGCAATACGGCTTGAGCCAACTTAATCGGTTCAGCACCCTGTATTTAAATTAACAATCTCTCTTTGTGCTGTGACGAAACAATCAACGCAATCATGCACTGTTATTAACATTCATTATACCATTTTTCACAATATCATTCTTTTTACCCTGATCGTGCGCATGCTTTAAACTCGTGTTACATACTTCCTTCTAACAATTTACAGCTCACTTTATTGTATAAGATTCAGTTGGTCTGCCCGGTGCAGTGACTTAAAATTTTGTCTAAATCGTCATTTTCAATGACTGCATTAAGAAACCATATCTCAAACAATCTCAGCATTCCTCAGATGAATGCAGGCGTTACACCTACAGTCCAATTTTATTTCACTTCGAACACATAATTTTGCTACGTTCACACAGTGCAATGAAATCAGGAAACTGACGTTTGGAAGGGAGACTAATGGGGATCGTTAATAAAAGACCTAATTTCTATTAAATAATGAACTTCCTAACCACTTTTTATAAAATGAATCAGGTTACTTACAACGCTTACAACCTTATAACAGTACTTTTCAGTGTGAATACTCGTACATTCCTAACCCTACCAAACTTACCGATAACTGACAGCCATCTACATGATCAACATACATACATGGCTTGACCCAATTCTTAGTGTGCTGCCATCTATCCCTGTCAACAATAATACAGACGTGTTGCCACCGAAGGTGTCCACTCAACAGAGGTCATGAACGGTCATGAAGAAGAGTACTGGGTAGGTTGAACCGGTTGAACTGAGTGGTCAACTTCACTGCCCGTACGCTTTACCGCCAGTACCCATTCGTTAGGAGGCTAGGTGGGCCCTACTGCCCATCTGGATGGACAATGTGTAGTAAAATCTTGTCTCTACTGTGATTCAAACTCTAACCCATTGGACGTCCAACCCGCAGTCAGCCCCTATATCCATGCACTATCCAAACTCCCTCAATCAGAAAAGGAAAAAAAAGTTTACTATTTCAATTTACACAACTCGGATTTCTGATCACAGGCCTAACACACACTTGTAATACAGGGCACAGTATGGAATTTTTCTGTTACTGAACCATCATTCCACTTCCTGAGTCTGGTCTGCTTGAGGTGTTCATAAATTAATTTGAAAATTTCTATCTGCTGGGATATAACACCCAGTCCATTGATAGTCAACTGATGTTGTTGCCTTCATCTTCAGGGTTTAAAATGTATGCAAAACAACAAAGTAGCTTGCTTCAGTGGACTTTCAAGTGACTAAATAACATTATAGCCTAGATAGAACTCATCATTACCTATGCTGTGAAAACATCAGATCTATATAAATTAATTTGTATCTGAAGACTCTAGCCTTGTTAAAACATATCTTTGACTCACAAACCAGCACAAATAAATTCATTAATCACAGAGAAACAAACAAAAAGGGTTGGTATGAAGGGTGGAGAACTACATAACACTAAAACAGAACTGCAAACCAAGAAACTAGTCATTACCACCAACCTACCAGTTTAAAAAATAACTACATTTCTGGTTCTCCAGGATTTTTACTGACTCTGGATAGGAGGTTGGTACCAGAACATGAGATGAATCATTATACACTTTATAAAGTTACAGTCATCTAATAGTCTTCAACAAATTACAACAATCAAATCCAGTTCCATATTAAAATCACAATACATAATCAAAATAACACCTAAATATAATCCATCTCAGTGAACTCTTGTTGGGCTAAATGCACTTGCCACCCCAGAAACTACAACAGCAATGGAGGATTCAATCTGTTAGTCCTGGAGACAAAACTAAGCTAACCTGCTGTCACCCCCCCCTCCCACTTACCTAGGGATAGATCCAATGTCATGTCAGATCCTGATATTGGGAACGGAGATGGTCCCTGAAACACTTATCATTTTTAACCAATTGTCACTGCTGACAGCCCAAGAACATTCCATTCACTTTAGCTGCTGTGAGAACTTCAGATCTTACATCATCCATCTCACATTTAACCATAATAAACTGACTGTACCTTCAAAAAATATAAGGAACAGATAGGAAGTGATTCCCACCCACCTGGTGAAATGCATGTACAGACACTTTCAGGACTGTGAGTGCAGCACATCACCACCAAGGTGGGGGGGGGAACCCATTTCACTTATTTCCTTAAAAACTAAAGTATTCAACTCAAAATTAAAAAAAAAANAAAAAAAAAGCTTCTGGCTTGGGCCACAATTTTACCAACCTATCATGGCAATGTAGGACATGTGTGCAGCCAGTTACATACTGAGGCTATTGGCAAAACAAATGGCTTGGTGCTACACAACACAATTAAACAATATTTACTATACATTTGCACACAGAGACACTTTTATACTTCTCACTGCCAAAAATTGATAATCCTGATGCAAGTCACCGCTTTGAAGGAGCAGTTTCCTCACCAACATCTGGAAAACATAAAGAAACACTGTTATGTATGCGCTTGTGTACAGAAATGCACTGCCGTCAGTACTTCAAGACTGAGACGTAAAGCATCCCTCAACCTCCAAACTTTATCATACAGTGCCATATCAACTACATGGCAAGGTACACTTTCTGGCAACATAACAAACATGGTTTTACAATTAATCAATACTCACAACTGAATTTTATTTTATACTGCTACATGTTTAGGGGACACGCAGTAGCATAGTTGGTTGAGGCATTATGCTACAAGCTGGAAGGTCGCGGGTTCAAGTCCTGATGAGGTCACTGGATTTTTTTTCAAATGACCTAATCCTTCCAGGCGCACTATGGCCCTGGGGTCGACCAAGCCTCTAACAAAAATGAGTACCAGGAATATTCTTGGGTAAAGGGCGACCAGCGTGTAGGGCTGACAACCTTGCCGCCATCTATGAGCTGACTGTCTAGAAAATGTGGGAACCTCAACATCTCACAACCTTATGGGCCTCCACGGCCTGTTACATGGCTTACTTTTTACTTACTGCTGCATGTTTTGGTCCTCATGGGACCATCATCAGGCAGAATTATGACTGTATGGCTAAAGTTATCAAATTCTAAAATATGGATCCATATTTAGTGGACTTAAATTTGAGGAAGAAACCAGTGAAATGCTATATTTGGAGCATAGCTCTGTATGGGGCTGAAACATGGACACTTAGGGCAGTAGATCAGAAACATCTGGAAAGTTTAAAAATGTGATGTTGGAGAAGGATGGAGATCAGTTGGACCGATTATGTGAGAAATGAAGAAGTGTTAATTAGAGTCAGTGAGCAGAGGAATATCCTACACGAAATATGAAAACGGAAGGCTACTTGGATTGGTCATGTTTTACGCAGAAACTGCCTTCTAAAAGAAGTTACTGAAGGAAAGATAGAGGGGTGGATAGAAGTGACAAGAAGACGAGGAAGAAGACGTAAGAAGATGCTGGATGACCTTGGGGACAGAAAAGGATACTGTCATTTGAAGGAGAAAGCTCTAGATCGCATTAAGTGGAGGAATTGTTTTGGAAGAGACTGTGGATCTGTCGTCTTGACAGATTACTGATGATGATGATGATGATTTAGTGCAACACGTCCATATTATAAAGTTATGCTTAAGTTAGAATGTAAGAACAATACTGACCTCAAAATATTAAGAGTATACAAAGGAACCGTATTAACCTTTAAGAGCCGAGCGACTCCATATGGCGTCATGAAAATAAAGTCAAGGGGACGAATGACGCCATATGTCGTCGCGCAGTCCATGCGTGAGGCCGGCTTTTTAAAATCTAATTTTAAGTTTTAAATTCTTTTTCTACTTACATGATTTTTGGTCACCAGCTTTATAAGTTCACTCTTCCCACCTGCGTCGTCTAACGGACTGCTGGCTTCGTGTGGAAATCTTGGAAACATCCGGAAATCCAGTGTCTGACGTCACACTTCACGCACTTTGTCCGGACGGTTCTTCATTTTCCACGCGAAAAGCACACACGACACCTCAATTGCGAAGTAGAGGAAGTCGACCAGTGATGTGGTTTGGCCTCCTATAATCGAGATATCTCCGATAAAACGGCAGGGGTTCGACCCCTGGGCCGTTGATGGCGAGGTGGACCCCCCTTCCAGCATGTTCCGCACAAGAGCGAGACGAAATTCTCTTTGTGACAACAGGATGTAACTGTTCAGATCCAGGAGACGGAAAAATAGTTTATTTGTTCATTTCCAGGTTCGACGACAGATGCTATAACTGTTTGCCACAGTTTGCCCACAGCTCCACCTGAATAACTATTCACACTTCTCTTGCCATGCTGGTGTGCTGGTCCCCAGGTTGCCGACCAAGATGATGGTTCTTCGTCGAAATCAACCGCCAGTAATGTGGTTTGAGCTCCTCTAATTGAGGTATCTCCAATGAAACGGCAGGGGTTCGACCCCTGGGCCGTTGAGGGCGAAGTGGACCCCTTCCAGCATGTTCCGCATAAGAGCGAGACGAAATTCTCTGCGTGACAACAGGCTGTAACTGTTCAGATCCAGGAGATGGAAAAATAGTTTATTTGTCCATTTCCAGGTTCGACGACAGATGCTATAACTGTTTGCCACAGTTTGCCCACAGCTCCACCTGAATAATTATTCACACTCCTCTTGCCACGCTGGTGTGGTGGTCACCAGGTTGCCGACGGAGATGATGGTTCTTCATCAACTTCAATTTCTGATTCACTTTCTTCCTCGCAACTCTCAGAGTCATCGGTACAACAGTCTGAATCGGTGTCATTTGTAAGCTGATTCTCAATTTCAGCGTCTTCCAAATACGAGGCCATGGTGGACAGCTAAACACAACGCTAGCCTTGAACGTTCTGACACTGCTCGGCTATATTTCAAAACAGACTACTTCTTGTTTGTCTATACGAGATAATACAGTCAGTGTTTCTGCGAACGATTAGACTTCGCCCACACTCGTGCACATACCGAAAGGAAGCTACGAACTGGAGAATGAGGAACGCAAGCATAAACTTCTGCCCCTGTTGCCACGTAAGCCATAGTTATAAAATGATGTCAGCAGCAGGCATTCAGACTGCAGGAACATTTTGTGCAGGAACTGTGTGCATTTTTGTGCACAGACGTTTGAAATTGGAGGAAAAATATTTTTTGGCATCAGTGTAAAAATTTTAAGAGATTTTAAAACGGCAAATTACAATAACTGATTCTATATTCTTTCTAGATAAAAGCAGCGTTTATTTCGTTCGTTTATCACAAAAATTGTAGAAATCACAGCATTTTGAGTAACATGATTACAATTTTTATTACTCTACAGTGGCGGGCATTTAAATTAACTCCGTCCCGCTACCACTACCGGAATTTAAATGGCCGTCTCTTAAAGGTTAAAAGTAATGTTTATCAAAGATGAATAATTTGTTTGAATGATATTACATTACGAGACAAAGCCTTCGGAATAAAATTGAAAGTTATACAATTAAAACATAAAAATATTAAAATTATCAGAACAATAATTAAGATTATGGAGTATGATGTTAAAATTTCTCATGTAATGTTGAGAGTCTTCTGTGTTGTGTGAATAACTGTGGGAAGCCATGTCACTGAGTCTCTCTCAAGGGGGATGTTATAACAACCAAGGTTGTGCTGTACTAATGTATTTTGGATATTACTCTTATGGGCTGTTATAGTGCGTTAATATTCATGCAGTATAGTCTTGGGCATAGGCTGCACGATATTGCTACTGTTAATTTATATGTGCATTCCTTTCTATATGGGTGTTGTGTATGTCATAGCTTGGTTCAACATGAACAGGATGTACAATATAAAAATAATTCATACCATATAAACTGCCAAAGTTACAAAGCTTATAAAGAACGCATATTATGCACTTCAATTAAACAGCTATTTCTAGCACTACAGATTAATGAAATATCATGGGATTGTCTCAGTGGCAGAAGAGTGGCCCAGAGCGCAAGCAAACCTCAGAACAAAACACAATTTTGTTACCCGGGACGAGAGTTCTTCACTTCAGAGGTTCTGAAATAGCCAACAGGAGAGCAGGGTGCATACAAGTTTCGAAAGCATGTAGTCAAGTTTCCTGGTAGTCAGTAGCTGATGGCTTTAATGAAAGCTGTCATAATAAAATACCTCAGTAAGTTGAACAAAAACAAAAAGAAGGGGAAATTTTAAAGCTGATGAAAAGTTTGCTTTGCTTCCCACAGTATTACAATAGGTAATGGAAAAGGAGTGTCTCATAGAATACAGCATTATATATGCAGAAGACAAATACTTGTAATCTGTATTTCATTTTGGTTTAAAGAATTCTGATCTGCTACAAAGGACAGGCGTGCGTGAAAGTGCTGAATTCGAGTAATTAACACAAAACTGCAGTTCAACTATGAATATCTCTCTCTGTCTGCATTTGATACACTGCAGTATGATAAAACAGAAAGCAGTATTGTAGAACATATAAAGGTAATCATAAAACGTTTTAAGTGAATCGATAATAATTGAGTCACTTAGTTCTGCCTGTTCAGGCACCAGTCTTTTCACCCACGGCAAACCACATGATTCACTATATCATAATAAGCCATCACTTTGCTCATTACTTGCAACACAGAGGAAACGCTGAACCACAAACAAAGAATTACCAGGTATTTGGGCTTTGTCCATCATTCAGTATTCTAGAAACTAGAAAATGCAACATTTCAGAAACTGGATCTGTTTCCATCCTCTGGACAGGGGGGATTACACCTACTCTGCTGGGTCCCTTAGAAAGACCTAACTAGACCACCTGAGCATGGGAACAGATCCTTTTCTGAAATGTGTTTTCTAGTTTCTAGAATACCAGATGATGAACAAAATCCAAAAACCCAGTAATTCTGGGTATTATACACCATCATCATAACCCTTTAGAATCTACACAATCAAAGAAGTTGAGATGAAATCACAATACCTATTTCTCTTAAATTGTATTCTGTTTCCATTACCTTACACCTGGCCCATGTGAGCTCAGAACAAACAGTATAAGAAAAAAAAATTAAAGTTGTGCACTAATCAGAGGCAAGAATCATGATACTGATCAACTTTTCTTGGCAACCAAACTGTTTGTGTGGCCATATTTTGACCCCGCCTGTTACTAGGCTACTTGCAAAACATGTATGTCTCTCCTTCACATTTTCTTAGAGTAAACTATATTAAAAGTGAAGAGTATTATATCTTTGGGATATAAAACCGTGGTGACATGGAGGAGATTACCAGTGTTCCGCTGAAACATCTGCAAACTTCTACTAGATTATATGGTGTCACATCCCGGGAGACAGTGCTCTTCGCAGTCACCAAAGTGACAGCCTCAAACCCTATATGGTGAAACTGCTTATTACTGTAAATTCTATTAATACATTCCTGTTGTCTAAAGAAAACTTACCATAATCTGAAATAATACAAATTACCATATTACATAATTAATGTGAATTAATTAATGTTCTTATTCTTTCTGACATTTTTATAAAACATATGTCCCCAATGTCCAATGTCAGACATGTTGATTCATTACTGACCACTGTTCTTTCATTTACTGCTATGATGCTGCACAATGACCACTCGACATAACATGTTTCGTTCCCACACAACGTCAATGGTATCAAAATCTTGGTATCTGGATGGATGACAATATGACAAAATATCATTTTAAAGCACAGTGATTACTATGACCCACCTGTTCTAACATTAAGAAACTTCATGGCCTCACCACCAAAGTGTATTTATGCATTTTGTATAGGTCTCACAATAAGCACTGGTTACTTCTCTAAGCAACATTGAATGTTTAGTATTTGTAATGATGCTGCTGTATATTTTCTGTGAATTAGAAACTCAACTTGTAAATATTATGTAAGAGAATTTCAGGTGAGTTTTCCCTCATAGGATTGCTTGAATTATTAGAATGTGCAATATGGTACAAAGAAGTTCGAGACCTATTACTAAATTCTGTCTGATTTAAGCTTTACCTGAAGAGTATGGAATGAAAATTCACATCAGGTGAAAAATGGCATTACATTTTCAATAAATTGTTTTGACAGGAACAATTTTTGCAAGCCTCTGAATTCAGACTGAAACCCAATATTCCCATACATTCAGGAACATAATGCTGCCTAAATCATCTCTCTATGTTAATTAGATAGCAAGACATGGAACTCAGTGAAACTGCAGTACATACAGCAAGGAGAGCACTGGTGACCGCTGAATCAATGGACTATATGCCTATTATCACTTGTGCAGCACAAAGTTAGAGATCTGTAGGCAGATTACAAAGGGGACACAAGGTATTTCTACAAAATGTTCAGACAGAAAGAACAAAGAATGAAGTCAGTGTAGGCAAAATATGAAAATTGAAGCACTGAATTAAATTATCATGAATGGTGAATAGGTACAGATTGTAAGGTACTGTCCTGGAATTTAGCCACAGGCCCAAAGGAGGGCCATGAAAAATCTCAAACAGGATAAACACTAACCTGGACATGACTCAATATTATGTAAGCTACAGAGCTCATAAAGTATCACTAAATAATAAAGAATGAAAAAAAGACTTAAAAAGAACTCTCCTACTCAGAAACCATGTTTGTTTCATGCAACTTTTATTCTAATTGTAAATGCAGTGGTGAAAAGGAACTGTCAAACTGCAAACTCACTCTTTCCATCACACGCCACAATCTTCACTTTGTCCACCTTGGCCATCTCCTGTGCCTCACGAAACTCAACATCATTCAACATGAATGTCCATACATTGTCACAGAAACGATATGTGTTCAGCTTGCCAGCCTGCAAAACAGTTTCCATATTAATTTCTTCCAGAAGGTGGAACAATGGTAGCCTGTCTCCTGATGTAGTTGTAGCTGTTATTGAATTTACTGTTAATTTTTGTGGTAAGATGTATGACTCAAACTTCCCCCACTTAACATTACCACCGAACACGACAAACAACAGGTCACAAATGAGAGGAAACCAGAGCCACGTACAAATCACAATGAAACCTGTAGGAACTGTGCCACAGCAAAGTCTATAATAATTATACAAAAATCCACAGACTTCACCAAAGCAAACACTGAATATTAAGGAAAAGCAGACTTGGAAATCCACAGACAGTAAACAAGGAAGGGACAATACGAGTACAAACAAATTGAAATAAACAACAACACTGACACAAACACACCAGCAGCCATCAGCTATCTACAGCTTTACACATCACATTCAAGCATTCCCCCACCACAGTATTCAACACACCTAGGAACAGGAGCCTCAGCAACATTATGCACCAAAGAAACAATACATATGTGGTGATATACGAACACAACTGAACATGCGACATAATTAAAACAGAACTTTTAAACTACAATACAGCACATTCTAATATAATGCTAAACCCAAATATTTTAACCTACTGACAAACTACTCGTATTACAAAACAAAAAAGCTTTGTGACAAGAGATGTAACTATTAACATCTATCAAATTATATTTTCAAATATAAACATTGGCTAATGCATATAAATAACAGTTAAGTGGAAAAATGAAGTAAAAATAAATGGGTGTAATCTGATTGACAGTATACTAACAACTACACTGTGTTCATGCAACTAAAAAATTTAAGCTCTTAGTAGACTATGAAGCCAACAGTTAGCATTAAAATTGGTCCCTGGGAAACAGCTTGTTAAGATTCAACTGAAGAACATACTATATGAATAAACAATCCTGTTACCTTGAACGTGAGTCTGGACTTGACTCTTGTAGCAAGGGCCATATTGATTGATTTGTCGAACTGCAGGAGAACTTTAATAGCAAGCTGAGGTGTGATCTGACCATACTGAAACAGACAACCTCTGTAAAACAATAATAATAATATTATTACAGCTCTCACAAAGCAATACAAGAATTTTTTTCTTCAAACTCACTTTCCCTTTGAATTTGTGAACATTGGGAGAAAGGTAAAACTGTTCCTGTGCTTAATTAAGCACCATATCATGCTCATGTATAGAGGGCATGTAGGTATTCATTCGTTTCATATCCATACAGGTAAAAAACCTAGGATGTGGAAATAGTCCCTTTGATAAGAGATGTGTCCAGATACATATTATGAATTACATAAGTTACATAATTAAAATCACATACATTAGTCAATTAACATAGATAACAGAATAAAAAACTTATTACAATTATAATTAATAAACATAATTTAAAAAGAACATCACTATAAAAACTTAAAATCAATACAATTTCATTCAAATTACCCAAATTAACTGAATTAAATGCGTTATAAATTTACATACTTATGACAAACTATCTTTCCTTCTTTCTTTATTTAATTTTCCCATAAATCAAAATACATTGATACAGGACTCGTCATATACATACATACATATCCTCAACTTTCCATAAACATCCATACAGGCAACAGACCCAGGATGTGGAAATAGTCACCAAACACATACACAAAGTCACACAAGCCACACAATGAAGATCACTCACATTAACTATCTAACACATTCAACAATACGAGGCAAAAAGATAATATCCTGATTAACAGTCTTAATTCACAAGTAACCACAATACAACCCCTCACATCTCCCATACCAACTATATTAAAATACGGCGTTAAAACATTCAAATTTATGTACATTTGTAATTAAAATATTCATTTAATGCACAAAAAGAGTTAGCATGTAAAAATCTTTTTTAGGGAACATTCAAAGAATTTCTGGTTATTAGATAATTGTTTGAGCTCTTTAGGTATATGATTGTAGATTGTTATACCTGAATAATATGCACCCTTTTGAACTTTAGTAAGAGAAGTACTTGGTGGAAATAGATTAACATTCTGTCTGATACCAATATTATGTACCTCCATATTTCTTGTAAACAAATGTATATTATTTATAGTGTGTTGCATCAAGGAATATATATTGAGAACACAAAGGCAGAATTTTCATTTCCTTGAAAGAGTCTCTATATGAATCTCTTTTCTTTAATACCATCATAATCCTTATAACTTTCTTTTGGATCATAAAAAGTTTTGTCATGTATGAAGAATTGGCCCAGAAGATAATTCCATATGTCATCACAGAATGTTATAAGCAAAATAAATCATTCTTAAGCTACTTAATGATATCATAGGCTTAACTGTTCTCATAATAAAGCAAGACGAATTCAATTTAGCAACAAGGTAATCGAAACGATTCTTCCAACACAGCCTATTATCAATATTTAGGCCTAGAAATTTGATACACCCTAAGTTAGTCTGTAAATTTTGTTCAATATTATTATGCATATTACGATCCTCATAGTTCATTAAAGTGAACTGAAGAGTGTGGGTTTTATGAATATTTAATTTTAACAGATTGGTTCTGAACCATGTATTAATATTGCAAAATATTCTGGTCATGGTTGATTTGTAGTCAGCGTATTCCAGATTAGTCACAATTATACTTGTATCGTCTGCATATAAGAATATGTTTGTTCCATTAATTGAAACCTTAGTTATATCATTTATATACAAGAGAAAAATAAGTGGGCCAAGAATTGAACTTTGGGGTACGCCAAATTTTACTTCTGCCCAACTAGACGAGCTATTAATAGAACTGTTAGGGACAAGGGTTACTCTTTGATATCTTCCATTCAGGTAAGATTTAATTAAGGCACAAAACTTGCCAGTTATTCCATAAAACTCTAATTTTTTGATAAGTATATCTTGATTGACACAATCAAAGGCTTTGTGTAAGTCACAAAATATTCCTCCAACAAACTGTCTATTATTCATTGCTTTTAGTATTTCCTCTACCAATTTGAAAGATGTTTTTTCTGTAGATGAATTACATCTAAAACCATACTGATTATTGTCCAATATATGATTACTGTCTATATGTTCATACAATTTATTATATATAACCCTTTCAGAAACCTTACAAAAGGCTGACAATAATGAAATAGGCCTATTGTTGGCTGGTTCATATTTATTACCGCTTTTGAAAATGGCTTAACCACAGCAAATTTAATTCTGTCTGGAAACGTTCCCTGGGCAAGGGATTGATTACAAATGTAAGTTAGTGGTGAAGTTATATATGGCATACTTGCTTTTAAAATTCTAGTGGAAATTTCATCATAACCATGTGAAGACATGGTCTTCAAAGATTTGATTATCTTTCTAATCTCAGTAGTTGAGACATAATGCCATTTGACAGATTTAAAAGTAGATGTGTATAATTATATGTATTCCTAAATGCAGTAGATAGAGTATCAGTGGTTAGCTTCGTGCCCTGGACACTTTGCCTCTGACATTAAGAGCCCCCAGTACCTGACAGCAGGCTGGGCACGCCCAAGTACAGATCACGGATGCTATGGAGAAGCGAAAATTCCGACTGTCGTCGGAAACTTAAATACATCATTTTTGTGAATTTTGCTTAAAGGTGTCCTCAAAACAAAACACAACTTAAGGTTTTGCGCTTTCACTCCATACTAACAACATAGGTAATGAGAGGAAAGACTTATTTGTAACTGACAATATAATAACTGAGAATGTTCCAAATATGGAAGGTTACGTTCACACCAAATTATTTCCAGTCTACATTATGAACAAAATATTTACAAACAGTATACTTATATAAATAAAGACGTTTACTTTTAATTAAGACGCAGACGATTATCTGCATGACTGATGCATGGTAAGGTTTACCTTAAACGAAACTAAGGAAAGCGGACCCCACCGTAAAAGTAACCGGATATTTCATGATATTCATTCTGGAACATACTGATGAGAAGGCTATACACCGTGAACAGCACTTCAGTCGGTCGTACCTTTAGTATGGTTACTTCACCAGTTTCATGTTCTCGGCATTTATTTCATACTTACCTGGATTAACTCATCAAGGCTTTCTTGCAAAGTGTTGCCCAATGTTGTGTTTCTATATAATTGATAGGACATGCTGAATTGGTAAATCGAAATATCATATACCTACACCCCTACAAGCCACATAAAACACAAACTCCAGCATCAGCCTCTAGCACACTCTATCACTCTACCAATCACCCTTATCCCCTTCCTTAGCTCCCTCAACTATCTGCGCGATCTGCGCCTCCACGAACCACGAATACCACACTTACAGATGCGTAATTATAACGCTATTGGTTGGCAACGGCTGAGGACAGTTGAGGTTCGGAAATTATCAACGAAGAATCATGTTTTGATCACAGGTGTTTGTATTTAGCTGTATAACTAGTTTCATCGCTTACATAAAACGTATCAAATAGCTCTGATTTATAAATGAGGTAATAATACGAAGAAACAAGAATTCTCAATACATCATCAGCACCTAACCCTTTATTCATACATTTGTATATGAAACGCGACAATATGGAATAATGATGTCTGAAATATCGAGCTTTATCGCTCACGTTTGATTCGATTGTTCAAGTTCACTTCAAAGTATGGAACAAGTGATGGTGCAGGTGTGGGAAGTCACAAGACAGGGTATGTGGTCCATTTCGTGATTCCATTTAAAGGAGGATGGCAGACGGGAAGAAAGAGGAGAAGCGATCAATAAGAGATTCTACCAAATCTTTGAAAAAGTATGGAAGTACGTGTAATCACTTTAAACGCCAGGATCACTTTGTTAAACACACCGTTGTTGAAGGCGAAACGTTACAAGGAATTGCGTTGAAGTATGGTGTTACCGTAAGTATTTACCATATTTTTGTTGAACCCAGTAAAAATTGTACACTATGCGTGTACGCTGTTAACTTCTGTGCCGTTTGAATAAGTAATTTTTACACATCTTACTTATAAATGCACTTACCATTTTGTGCAATCAAAAGTACTACTACTTTCACTAAACTCAAGAATGCTGGTCAAAACTAATTTATCAAAATCCAGCAGAAATGAAAATAAAATAATTGAAACCAAACCGTGAAGAACATCAGTGGCCCTCATAAGCGATGACCTGTCATGGATTGGTATCACTAAATGACCATTTACCAGCATGTGTTGCACACGTTAGATTTAGTGGTGAAACTTTATGTGTCCTGACATAGCTCAAGTCTTGTATGGAACAAAATAACATGGTGCACCAAGAACTGAGTGTGAAATAGGCAGACGTGGAGTTTATTTTACCTTTGCATTATGTGTAGGTGAGAAAGTGGACATGGCCTGTTCTAGGTTGTCTCAACATCTATGTGGAGGGATTGAGTGAAACCACATTTGGCAAAGTAATGTTACAGATGGAGCAGATACGCCGTGTGAACCGCCTCTGGGCATCAGATAGCCTGTTCCTGCGGGAGAGCCTCATGATTCCAGTGTCCAGACCGGATGTTTCTGTAACCCTGTCAGATGACCTGGTGTTTGATGATGCAGAGGATATGCATTCACCAAGTAGCATCAGTGACAGTGAAGAGAGAAGCATCAGGGACTTCCTTGTCAAGATTGACACGTCAATTGCCAACACAAAATCCCAAGTGAAGAAGTCTGTAGGAAACAGTGAGTAAGTTGCAGTAAACCTGTCTTATTCTGTGTGTAACCCATGTTTATTAGCAAAATGGGCTTGCCATATTCAGTTTGTGATCTATCGTGTGTCTTGTCATTGTGAACAAAATGTGATTATGTTGTTCACTATCGACACTATTTACAGCTAGCAGTAAAACCAGCTGCTTTCCCTNCGGTAGTAACAGCGGTTACCTCCGCTAGCGTTACATAGCAACACAGCGACATAGCAACAAGGGTGCCTATTACGTGGCCGTATTGTCCGATCGAGGCTACATAGGGAGCAGCGAAGGCTATTCACAGTCAGTTGAAACATAGCAGCCTGCGAGTGTGCGATAACGAAGAAGTCAGCGAGCGGAAGACTTATTGTGTGCTTTCCAGACATAGTGATTGCTGTAGTACAGTTATATTTGGAGTGTGTAATTCAGGGAGATTTGTATAGCTCCCGCATTATTAGTACTTGAAGTTTCGTGAAGATTGTGTTAAGAGATTTTGTTGTAGGGTTTGTAAACTGTGGAAACCCGTAACGTTGTGATAGTTAAGTGTAGCCGATAGTTGTAGATTGTTCAATAAACCAGTTAACGATCTCTACGGCGTATTCAGTAACGCAAAACGTTAGAATATTTTTCCCTAGCAGCAGAGTAAGAAAGTCTCCTTAACTCCACACATTGACAACTCGTGTTTTTCAGTGCCTTCATAAGGGTTGTAAGGTGGCAACATTTTTTGGGTACATTCACATTGAAAGCTGCAAAAGTGTGCCTGTTAATTTGATTTGTCTCATTCTGGTCCATCACGCTGTTAATTACAAAGTGGATATTTTTCAGTCCAGTGTGACATACGTAAATCTACACTTCAAGAAGTGTCATCATGAATGTCTAAGACAAACATCAAAACTAAGTGTGATAATAACACAATTTATATAGTGAGCATTATTCATAGCTTAAGTGCATATTGTTAAAACATCTTATGTGACAGTGTTCCCTGATCGTAGTGGTGCGCCTATGAGGATGATTCTTTTGAATCGAAACATGTAAGGTGAACAAACTGAACTGAAAATTATCCCCTTTGTGCCTGTTAACTTTGTCATGTCTTGCATGTTACAATTCATGAAGCAATGAACAGATTTTCATGGGAAGTTCACACAGATCTGACAACATACTCCATCCAATCTTGATTGAAACAGATACTGTGCATCACAGCCTTCATACATATCTGTCTGTATGTTGGGTATGACTTGTGGAATATTTATCAGAATGAGAAATGTTATGAACAAAAGTAGTAGAGAAAAATAAATCATACATTTCTCATTTTTGAGGCAGTTATAAGGGACTTTGCTGGATTTGAGGTTCTCACAGTGGTGGTTATTATGAAGAGTTTATCTTTTGGGATATAACACTGTTGAATCTGTCAGCCAGTGTTTCAGAGGAACATGTCACCACTGTCTTCGGGATGAAAGAACAGGTCGTGCAAAGAGCCATCTCTACTGGCTCCCTACTTCATGCTGGTTTCATGCTTGGTTTAATCTTTGAACCCTAAGATGGCAGTGACATGCTACTCCAAATTGTTGGTTGGGTTTGACGGATTACATGGCATTATATCCCAGAATATAGAATTCAACAGAAGGAATTTTTATTGTTACATTTCATAATTCAAGACCTGTGAGAGTGGTCATATTAGAGGTCATTTCCCATCCATCGTACTTAAGGCTGTTCATAAGAGAGCATCAAAAGTTTGCACTCATAAATCTGGAAACCTACAGGCAATAACAAAGTGAATGCACTAGAAATGTCACACTTTATATACTTCCTACCGTATACATGTTGAAATGATTTAGAGCAGTGGTTATGGTACAAACTTTTCGTGTCTGTTCTGGTTTGGATTCAAACCAAAATAGTGGTTTCAATTTGTGCACAGGTTTTTGGATGACTGTGATGCCCCATACACCTGCAGAAAGGTCCCGGTTTCCAGGCTTCGCCAACAGCAGTCAGCATCCGATCAGAATGATATTCTGATGGCGCCACACCCTATAGTAATGACTCAGAGTCGCAAAGTGCGTTCATCTCTCCAAAGACTGGAGAAAGAGCAGGATGAGATGTTTGAATTGTAGCATTCGTTTGTGCATTTGCACCATTCACAGTTGTCACCATGGTGCAAGATGCCTTATGATATATTTGAGGAGTACAAGACTTGTACATAAGACACTGTAAATACACATCAGGATTTTGTGATGTGCCCATTGTATTCTACATATCCACACCCGCTTTTGTGTCTGTGTGTATGTGAACATAAGTTCAACCTATAGCTACTTAAAACCCATGTTACCGGGGCATTTCCAGAGGAAGAAAAGCCCACTGTAGCTACAGTTTCAGCAGCATTGTGATTTGTGGGGATGAAGCCTCAAATCTTTGCAAAATGAACAAAACTTGTTTTTAGGCACATAGTAGCTAATCCATGGTACTGGAATTTCCTTAGTGAGAAAACTGACTTTGATATTACTGGAAGTAAACATATTTACAGATTGGCTGAAACCTGGAGGATTAACTGTGTTACAGTGTAACATAATATATCCATAAATAAGTCTTATGATATGATATAGTGTCATTCTGCTCCAGAATATATGGGAACCAATTGGACTGGAACTGGTATACAGGATCCATCCTGTATTGGAGTATACCATACTAACTCTTCGACTGGAATTCATGATCACCTATTTATTTTTAATGTCCTTCAAGAAGGCCTGGATTTGCATTGTTGATATATGGGTGACTTTTTTTTTTTTAGTTCATAACTTATTTAGGAGCGATTTTCTTTTTTCCTATGACTGATAATATGTAAGCCTTGTGCTCGATATTTTTGTGCTGACAGTGCAGCCACATGTTCAGTCTTGCAAACTGTTCAACATGCAAGCTAAATTTCTGGCCAGGACTGAAGAGTTCCCCATAACTCTCAGTTCTCTCTTGGAATGTGGCCCTAGGTTCCAAAGCAGTTTGTAGCAAACTGTTCCTTTGAGTTTCACAACGCATTCTCGGTAGAATGTGGAGCTAGGTCTGTAAATTATATGTGTAAATTCTGGCTTCTTTACTTCTCAGTTTATTAAAGAAATGAGATCTCGTTAAATAACAATTGAAAATGTACATCAGACTAAGGTTACATAAATTTACAAGTAAAAGAGTTTATGTTATATACAATGTTTGTTTCCTTTTATAGTAAAAAAAGCTTTAAAGCAAAAGTCATGTAAGTGCAACTGTATAGAAGTTTTGGGTACAACAAAGAATATCCTTGTTACTGTAGATTGGGTTTAGTTGTCAGCAGTAGAAAATGGCTTTCATTCATGTTACTGTGGCTGTTGAATGTTTGTTATGATGTGCCTTCACTCATTCCCGCTGTTGCTTACATTCCAGAGTGGAACTGTGTGACAGTTCGCTAGCTATCGCAGGAGCCTGAATCATATCATACAATGTAGTGTTACTTAATGACCTAATAGCAGCTTTATCATACCTTGTATAATGTTGGTGGTAAGTTGGCTACTCATCTGGGTTATGTTGCCAGGTGATCCCTGAATGCAAAAGAAATGTCACACTTTTTTGCTTTTGCCTTTCTCACCTGAGCCAAAGAAATGTATCCCAGTATCAGCAATGTATGAGACTCTTGGTACATGTATGGAGATAATGTTATATGATTTGGGTAGACTAGGAGTCAGACCCACCATCAGACTTGTATGTCTGAGAGATGAGAATTGGTAGTGTTGCCATCTCAGTAGCCAAGCGCTAAAGGGCGGCATAGAAGCTGTGAGGCCATCTGTCACAATGAAATAAAACTGGAACCATTACTGTGTCACAATAAAATTATTAAAATTTATCTGATGTCTTTATTCTGTACAACTCCCATGTCACCACAGTATCACAATGTTACAATCTTGATTCCATGTCCCACCAATAATATTCCTTTGTTTTAGTTCTGACAACAGTTCACTGGACTGAGATCAGTCTCTACATAACCAACTTGTTCTTCCCAAGTAAAATGTTGCATGCACTTCTTGTTTCCCCTGGCATGTAACATTTCCACTTTGTCTTTTCGTCTTCTTCCAGAACAAAAGACAAGTTATATTTATACTATGCTACAGCATAATTTACATAATTTAACGCCGAACATACCGCAGAACCTTCAGCTTGCGCATATAATGCAGTGAGCACAGTGTGAACATATGTACACAATTGGATGAACTTTTGTGAACATGGTGATGAATCTCTTGACCAAAAGAATAACAGTAAACCTCTGAACTTGTGACACAAATGGATGTCACTTTCATTTCACAAAATACAAGAGCAGAAGTCACCCTGAGCACAGCACTTGAAGGTACACCACCCAGAAAGAATAAATACTTTTAATATCTGAAACAATGTTTTCTAGCAACAATAAGTTAGTTCCTGAACCAGATGTCTTAGGTTCAGTCCAGATTCAAACTGATTACAAACCTCAAGGACTTTCTCACCAGAAATGCATAAAGCTTCACATGACAATCAGAGTTGCTCTTCACTACTGATACGGTTACGCCAATCAGCAAAACAAAAGGATAACTCACTTCTCACATGATTTTCAGGGCTTAAAACCAAAGCATGCAATGGTTTTAAGCCTGTCTTAGACATTCATACAAATCCTTTAGCAAAATGAACTTACAATACTCTGCCAAATCTGCAGTGAAATTTTTACTGCTTGAAGACCAATGGGAACTCTCTCCCAGTTACAAGTGGAGGATTGAGCCATTCTTGTTTGTCAGCAAGCACTGGATGTGCTGGTCATTCCGCAACACAGTGGCCTTGAGAATGCTCAACTGGCTCAGTTGCTCCTCTATGCTGTGCTGCAAGTGCTGGAGGTGGAGCCTCATTGGCTCCGTGAGCTGCTGTGTCTGGCTGCAACAAGAATGTACTGGGAACTGGGCAGTCTTGCCTAATCCACTTCTTATAAAACTGTATGTTGAAAAATTGTATTACTGACAGAAGCATTAAAACATAATGATGCAAGCTGCACACACACACGTACCTGTGCTCCATGCACAGCTGTGCCTTGAGCTCCATGTTTGTGTGTCGCCACATGCTCAGTTCTCGCTGCATTGAGTCCACATCTTCCTGTAAGAAGTCCATCAGCTTGCCCAGTGGGTTGGCAGCCCTTGTCAGAGTCTGTATTGAGCCACGCAGGCGATCAATCTCACGGCCTGCCAGCTCTCGTTCCCTGCGACGTCCTACCTCCCACTCCTGTCAACATCACAGCAGTTACACAAGCATTTTTCAGTAACATGTGGTGCTCAAGATCTGCAAAGAAAGCTGTCCAGCAAACAAATCATTTCGGTTCATATGAGTCTACTGCAACATCCGCTCTACAGAACAGCAGAATAAAAACTTTACAAATTTCTAAAAATAATGGCTGTGTGAAATATGTGATACAGAATATTTTGACCTCAGTACACTCCACAGGTTCTATTTCAAATAGGTTTTGGTACAACACATATATATAATTTATCTAAGGCTGAAATTATATGGACTTCAATTAATCAATATAACTTGGATGCTTATTTCTGTCACAAATGTAGGACAAATGGTGGTCTAAGTGTATGTGTCCAGCAAAACTTACAATATACACCCACTGATCTGGAAGAATTCTGTTTAGACCAAGAAATTGAAGTCTGTACTATAAAATTACATCATAGTACCAATAATATTTGTATTCTAACAATATATAGGGATCCTTCAGGTAATTTTTTTACTTTTTAAACACCCTTGAGGTTATTCTTAACCAAATTCATACAAACTTCATGAATATTATACTATGTGGTGACATAAATATCAATTATTTGGATGATATGGGTTCTAATAGACTAAAGCTGGATTTCTAATTAGCTTCATATCATTTAGAGAGTATAGTGGATTTCCCTACCAGAGTTACCTGTACTTCAGCAACTGCAATTGATAATTCTTTTATCAATAAAAGTAGAAACAAAAACTTTTTAATAACCTAAATGTCTAATGGGCTATCTGATCATGATGCCCAAATTCTCATTTTGAAGAATCTAACATTTCTGAACCTACCTAATTATTCTATTACTAGAAGAGTAAGAAATGAATGCACAATTATGGAATTTGGTATGAGTCTTAGTCATGAATCTTGGGCTATGTTTTTAATATAAGTGATGATGTGAACTTGATGTTCAATAATTTTCTTAATACTTATATAAAATATTTAATCATAGTTTACCCTATAAAATGTATTTCTTAAATAAAAAAATATCAACCCTGGATAACTACTGGAATTAAGGTATCTTGTGCCCATAAGAGAGAGCTGTATATGCTTAGTAGGAAAACTCAAAATCCTGAGCAAACAAGACACTATAAGAAATACTGCAAGGTGTTAACTGAGGTTATAAAGGAAGCAAAAAAAAAATATATATATATATATAT